GGGAGTATGGGGAAAAAGTGAAAGTTTTGATATTGGGGGTTTATTTTCGGCGGATGGATTTTGAAGGGGAGGTTAATCAAGAATTGATGAGGGAAAAAAAAAGGGATGGGGCGTTTGGGGGGTATATGTGGAGTCAAAAAAACTTATTATGGAGGAAAGAAAAGGGGTATGAAAGTAATGTACCCAAATTTATATGGGGGGGGAAGCTTGGGTGGTAAAAGCAAAAGCGAGGAGACGGTTGGAGGCCGGAGATGTCCTTTTAAGGGCAAAGTGTGGTGTAAATTTATCAGAAAAATTTGGAGTGTGGAATTAGGAGAAGGGGTGGAGTTAATAAAAATATTATTTCAGAGGGCAGAAGAGGGGTTGTTGAGGTGGTTTGGGTCATTTAGAGAGAATGGAACCCACAGTAAAATGACATGGAAAGCATATAAATCTATGGGGGAAGGAAGGCGGGGTGGGGGGTCGTCCTCGAAAGGGTTGGAGAGAGGGGGTTGTAAAGGGGTTTTGTGGGTAAGGGGCTTGGACTTCCAGCAAAGCGTGCGTGAGCGTGTTAGATAGGAGTGAATGGAGACGAATGGTACTTGGACCTGACGATCTGTTGGAGTGTGAGCAGGGTAATATTTAGTGAAGGGATTCAGGGAAACCGGTTATTTTCATATAGTCGGACTTGAGTCCTGGAAATGGGAAGTACAATGCCTGCACTTTAAAGGAGGGGTTTGGGATATTGGCAGTTTGGAGGGATATGTTGTGTATCTTTATATGTTTATGCTTCTAGACTGTTGTATTCTGAGCACCTCTGCAAAAACAGTGATAATGTGCGAGTGTGGTGAAAGTGTTGAATGATGATGAAGTATTTTCTTTTTGGGGATTTTCTTTCTTTTTTGGGTCACCCTGCCTCGGTGGGAGACGGCCGACTTGTTGAAAAAAAAAAAAAAAAAAAAAAAAAAAAAAAAAGTTTATAAAGTTGAATTTCTTTTTGTAAAAGTAAAATTAAGGTGTGGAAGAATTGTGGTAACTGGAGAATTGTGCTTGGCAACAGTCTTTTGTTTTGGTGGGAGGAGCTAAGCCAGGCTCTCTCTCTCTCTCCCTCTGACTGACTCTCTCTCTCTGTGGCTGACCTTCAACCTGGCAGGATCTCTGGGTCCTTCTTCTATCTTTTGGGGCATTATGTGTGCTCCAGGGGTGAGTTTTTATAATTTAAGTTGTGGCCACCATACCCCGGGTGACTAAAGTGTGTCAAAACACTGGTTAGCCTGAGTTATGTCAAGAGAGAAGGACAAAAGTTAATAAGATACACCATGTGGGAGAACAGCCATGGAGTGTGTAGATCTTTGTTTTGAAAATGTGAGGCTGTAATTGTATATTCTGTACATATTTTATTGAGAATACCGTTATATTTTTTATAGTAGTAGTTTACATAACCTGTGAAGAGGGCTGGGTGAAAGGGTATCAGAGACATCAGGATGATCAGCCATGATGTAAGTATTCCCCTAGACATTTAAGCCCATTAAGAAAAAAGCTCCCCCAAATTTTAAAAAATGTAGGAGAACCCTTACTATCAAGAAAATAAGGGACAAACCAAGTAACAATGCCTCAGGCAATCCCCCCTGTTTCGTGATGTATTGAATTTGTTGTTAGGGTACACATAGGCCTTGCTCCCTCTCTCAGGACCATGGAGAGTTGTTATCCGACCCCATTGCCTTTGAGGTCCTAGTACTCAAAAGCCTCTTCCTTTTTCCTCGTTGTGTGTCTGGCCCAGCACTGGTGGTGTCCCCCCTCCCCGTCTTTCGGGGCCCCCTTCTGTTCCTCGGGAAACACTTTTTTGAATTCTTGTTGAGTTCTTCAAATATTCATTGTCTTTCTTGTTGTCTTTCCCCCTTCCTTCCCTTTGCCTGATTACCTGGTCCTTGACTGTTGTTTTCCCCTGATGTGGCGTTTAAAAGCTTTGGATCAGATTTTGGGTTTTGCTTATGTCGTTTTTATATTATCGCTGGGCTCCCCTTTTCTGTGCATATTCATTTCTGGCTCTCGATGGTTCTTTTCTCTGGGGCCTTTGCCTTCTATTTCTTCCATTCCCTAGACACTTGGTTTTTGTTCCCCGCACCTTTGGGTGAACCCGGGCCTCCTGCTTTTCATTGTTTTTTTACCCTTGGGGACAAATCTTAGCCTCCTTGCACATTGTTGTACATATTCCATCTCTCCTAAATGGCTTCCCCGCCAGTTCTCTGTCCCCCTGAACCCCGTACAGGAAGTTCCTCATTCCTGTCAGGTAGATTTCCTGTAACCTCTCTTTGTAGGACGTACCCCTTAGCTCTAGGACTAGTCTTATTGCAAACCTTTGCACTTTCTCTAGTTTGTTTACATGCTTGGCTAGGTGTGGGTTCCAAACTGGCGCTGCAAACTCCAATATAACGTACACAGTGTACAGGGTCCTGAACGATTCCTTATTAAGATGTCAGAATGCTGTTCTTAGGTTTGCTAGGTGCCATATGCTGCAGCAGTTATTTGGTTGATGTGCACCTCAGGAGATGTGCCTAGTGTTATACTGTGTGTGTGCATGTGTATTCACCTAATTGTGATTGCAGGGGTCGAGACTCAGCTCCTGGGCCTGCCTCTTCACTGATCGCTACTAGGTCCTCTCTCTCTCTCTCTGCTTCCTAAACTTTGTCATACCTGGTCTTAAAGCTATGTATGGTTCCTGCCTCCACTTCATCACTTGCTAGGCTATTCCACTTTCTGATAACTCTATTACTGAAGAAATACTTCCTAACATCCCTGTGACTCGTCTGAGTCTTCAGCTTCCAATTGTGACCCCTTGTTTGCGTGTCCCTTCTATGGGGCATCCTGTCTCTGTCCACCTTATCTATTCCACACAGTATTTTGTATGTCGTTATCATGTCCCCCCTGACCCTCCTGTCCTTCAGTGTCGTCAGTCCAATTTCCCTCAACCTTTCTTCGTAGGACATTACCCTGAGCTCCGGAACTAGCCTTGTTGCAAACCTTTGTACAGTTGACCCATGACCAATGATGGCATCGACTAACGAGAATATCAGGTAACAATGCATTTTTGCGTAAAAATATTGGCTCGACCAACGATGAAAAACTCAGGTAAGGACACAGTAGACCACAGCATCCTACTCCACAAACTTGACCATTATGGTATAAGAGGCCATGCGCTTGCATATTTCAAATCTTACCTTACTAATAGGTATCAGTATGTCACCATTAAAGACACAGCATCAACAACACAGCCACTTGATACTGGAGTTCCGCAGGGAAGTGTCCTTGGTCCCCTGCTCTTCCTCATATACATCAATGATCTTCCAAACGTATCTCGACACCTGAACCCCATTCTCTTTGCTGACGACATGACTTATGTCATCTCTCACCCTAATCTTGCCACCCTCAACACCATTGTTAATGAGGAGCTGATCAAAATATCGACTTGGATGACAGCCAATAAACTTACGCTTAACGTTGACAAAACCTACTACATTATGTTTGGTAGCAGAGCAGGAGATGCACAAATTAACATTAAGATCGACAACACTCTAATTGCCAGGCATAATGAGGGCAAATTCCTAGGCCTATACCTCGACAACAACCTGAATTTCAGCACCCATATCCAACACATAACCAAAAAAGTATCCAAAACGGTTGGGATCCTCTCCAAGATACGATACTACGTGCCGCAAACTGCCCTTCTCACACTATACCATTCACTTATATATCCATACCTCACCTATGCTATCTGTGCTTGGGGTTCAACTGCAGCAACACACCTAAAGCCAATAATAACCCAACAAAAAGCCGCAGTAAGAATAATCACTAAATCCCATCCCTGGCAACACCCCCCCCCACTCTTCATAGATCTAAACTTACTCCCTGTTCAGTACATCCACACTTACTACTGTGCAATCTACATCTACAGGACCTTAAAATTCCAATATTAACCTTGACCTAAAACGCTTTCTTGATAGTTGTGACAGAACCCACAGGCACAACACCAGACACAAACATCTCTATGACATTCCCCGTGTCCGACTAAACCTTTACAAAAATTCAATGTATGTCAAAGGCCCTAAAATCTGGAACACCCTACCTGAAAATTCCAAAACTGCAGACACATTCATCACCTTCAAAACTACCATCAGAAAACATCTTATCTCCCTGATACACCCTGTCAACTAATAATACGAATACCACCTGGTGGTTCACACTTACACTCACTCACCCATTTGACCATAAACAGAAATATCAATCTCAATCTCAAAATAATAAATCTTAACTAGTCACAAGTTGGCCTGTGATACTCCAATACTGAAACTATGTATAGTGCCAAAACAAAAGCATTCACATTGCTAAACTCACAACTAGTATTTAGTCACTTAGCCATAATACCAACTTACCCCATAATTTTGTAATATTTTAAACTTAAGATTTAATATAAGTCTGCCCGAAATGCCTAGCCATGCTAAGTGTTCTAGTGGTACACTCTGTAATTATTTTACTACATGTAAACCACACAATAACCAAATTCTGTAAACTCAGCATTGTAATCCTTATAGAGAATAAACTTTGAATTTGAATTGAAATGCGTCCGCCTTCCGCCATCAAGCCTGAGCACCTCAGCTGCCCTGCCTTCAGCTAGTGTGCCACTGTTTACAAGCCAGGGCGGATGGTTTCAAGCATACATGCAATATATTTTGTATTATTCCATTGTTTTTAGTGCTTGTAACTGCTAAATAAGGCACCATGGGCCCAAAGAATGATGGTAAAACTGTTTCTTTTTTGGGTCACCCTGCCTCAGTGGGAGATAGTTGACATGTTTAAAAGCAAAAAAAATCATTACTGAAAATAAAGGAATTTCTCTACTTTATTCTCAATGCTCTAATTACCATATGCTCTCTACTTGGTCACAGTTTTGCCATAAGTAAATTAACAAAAATTGTTTCTGTACCTATATTAATGAGCACGCAGTAAAGGAGGTTACTACATACCTCAGTTATAGCCTTGAGAGCATCCTGGCGACACTGTGGTGGCGGGTAAAGCAACATGCGGTAGAAAAGACTCTCCAGGACAGGTCTCATCTCTCCCACACTGCCCATAGTCACTACCAGCCCACATGCAACGCTAGTATCATAGAATTTTATAAATTATTATTTATACAGTATATTAATTATATACTAAAATATTTACCGGCTTAGTACAGTATATCAATGAAGAAATTACTTACAATTTGCTTTAACTGATATGCTGCTTTCCAGTTGTAAAGATATTCTAGAGAGCAGATATATTAAGATAACATATTTAACATGATTATATTTTATTGTGGCTATTATTTCAATGGCACCCTACATAGCACTTACTTGTAAATAGCCCTGGCTTGCTGGTTGTTGAATAGTGGACCTGGGTGAGCTAAACAACCTGAGCCTCTTCCCATCTGACCCTCAGCTCTGCCTGAAGCTCTAGCCAGTCGCTGGGATACAGGAGACCCAAGCAGGGCTACAAGAGCTGGACACAACCGTTGCCAAAGTGCACCAACAAGAAGTGTGGAGCAATATGCAGGTGATGGCAGTGCTAGAAAAGACGTTATTGTCAGCTCTTAAAAACAAATGAACTGCAAAATGAGAAGAATTTGTTTGAGTGTATGCGTATTTATGACCAAGCTAAAATATGAAGTGGTTGTATCATGCCTCCAACTAAAAAAGTGTGAACAATAGACAACCTACAAGAACTCAACTCCAAAGATGAGCTAATGAATATGAGTTACAAAGAAATGCTGAAGCATTCGAGGTGCCATCTTTGACTGACAGGAAGCAAAATGAAGACATGATAACCACACATATGCAGGATTATAAAATATGAAAGAATTAACCCTTTGACTGTCGCAACCCCAAATCCTGAGGTGTCTCCTGGTGTCACAAAATATTTGAAAAAAAAAAACAAAAAAAATTCTCATGAAATGATAAGAGAATCTTTTCTCGATGGTAATGACACCAAAAGTACGAAATTTGATGGAAAACTTACGAAAATACGCTCTCGGAAAGTTAGCGACCTCAGCAATATTTACAAATCTGTGATTTCACCCACTGTGAGCCCTATTTTCGGCTTATTTCACTGTTCCAGTCCACCAAACTCATAACTAATTCTTTAGAACTCCATTTGTTCTATCGACTGAGTATAAGAAACTGCCCATTTACCAATTTCAACTACCCAATACAGTGGACCCCCGCATACCGTTGGCCTTACATAACGTTAAATCCACATACCGATACATTTTATCGCTAAGATTTTGCCTCGCATACCGCTAAAAAACCCGCTCAATGCTGTTCGTCCGAGACATGTCTATGTGAGGCCTGAGCCAGCCTCACATGTTCCGCCGGTGGCATTGTTTACAAGCCAGCCTCCGCGGAAACATCCAAGCATACAATCGTAACATTTCGTATTACAGTGTTTTTGGTGATTTTATCTGCAAAATAAGTGACCATGGGCCCCAAGAAAGCTTCTAGTGCCAACCCAACCCTGTGGTAAAAAGGGTGAGAAATATTATCGAAATACTACTGTGGTACCATGGTCAACTGCTGATGCTGCTGCTGCTGCTGCTGTAGCACTGTCAGCTGCTGCTGCTGCTGCTGCTGCTGCTGCTGCTGCTGCTGCTGCTGTAGCACCGTCAGCTGCGGCCTGCTGCGGGCCCAACTTCAGCTGCTGCTGTTTGCTGAACCCCCGCCCAGTGCTGCTCTGTTGAAAGTACCACCCTGCTGCTCTGCGGGCTGCCCCTTGATACCATCGCTGCTGTTTTACCCTTGCCCTGCTGCGCTGTACCATTGGCCCTGCTGCTGCTGTAGCACGGGTCAGCTGCATTTCTGCTGCGGGCCTGAAAGCACTGCAGCTGCTGCTCCCTTGCGGGTAGCACCAGCACTGCGGCTCCCGCTGTCCCAAACCGCAGCTGCTGCGCGGGCTGTTGTTCCCCGTCGCTGCGCGTACTTTTGTCTGTTTGCGGCTTTTATCCCCGGTCACCCCTTCTGGTGCTTTTGTAAAACCGCCCCTTGCTGCGGGCTGCTGTTGTATTTTAACCGTCTCTGCGTGCTGTCCATTGTTTTCTGCTGCGGTACCACCGCACTGCTGCGCTGCTGTAGAAACCGCCTGCGCTGCTGCTGCTGTAGAAACCAAACTGCTGCTGCGTTTATTTCCCGTCTCTGTTTGCTTTAGCATCGTCTACGCTGCTGTAGCACTGTCAGTTTGCTGCTGCTGTTGCGGGCGCGTACACTGTCAGCGCTGCGCGGCTCCCTGTACCCAACCGTTGTTGGTGTGGCTTATTGAAATACCAAGAAAAAAATTTAACCCCAAAGGGGTTAGCCACCCAAAGGAAAACCCCAAAAAAAAAGTGTGTCATCGAAACTGTCTAACTTTTTTCCCCATTGGGGTCCTTAATCTTTTTCCCCCCAGGATGCAACCCACACCAGTCGACTAACACCCAGGGAACAGGAAAAATGCCGGGAACTAGTGCCAAAATGGTAAATTTTAAACCCACAAAGGGGGGGTTTTGAGAGTTTTTAAGAATCCTGTTGCGGATCAGTAGCTGTTGCAGATCATTCAGCGTTCCCGGATCGTCAGCTTTTTGGGATCAGTCACCCCTTTTGCTGGACCAGTCCCTTTTTTTGCTGGATCAGTCAGCTGTTCTGGATCAGCCCACCCTGTTGCTGGATAAACAGCTGTTTTTGGAAACATTCATCTGTTGCGGCCCAGCATTGTTGCGGACTAGTCAGCTTTTGCTTTTCAGTCCTCCCTTCTGCCCCATCACTTTTTTTCTGAACATGACTCGCCCGAACCGTCCCGAACCGCCCCGCCAGCCTGGCGCCTCCCTTGCCATCATTGTTTCCCAACCAGGGGGGCCCGGGTTGCATGCATAAAATTCGATACTTTTTTGTATTATTCCATTTTTTTATATTGCTTTAATAAAAAATAAGCCACCAGGGGCCCAAATAAAGTTTTCTAGGGGCCAAACCCCTTTGTAAAAAGGGTGATAAATACATCGTCCCCACAGTCAGTTTGCTGCGCTGCACCACATTTCCGCTGCTGCTGCCCCACATCAGCTGCTGCTGCAACCACAGTCAGCGTTTCTGAAACCACAGCTGCAGATGCCCCCAAAGGGTCAGCGTTTTTTCCCCCCACTGTGCGCCCCCGGTTCAGCTGCACCACATTGTTGTTGTTGCTGAAACCCACCCTCACTGTATTACTCGAAGATGTGGAAGAGTTTGTTGGGGGGTTTAACGTAAAACAATTACCGAGAAACAATTAACCTCGGGGGGAAAGCCACCCAGGAAAACCAAGAAAGTCAGTGAAACATCGGGGCCCTCTAACTTTTTTTCCTTTGGGGGCCCTTTAACCTTGTCCCCAGGATGCAACCCACACCGTCGACTAACCCCTAGATGAACGGGGAAAAAAAGGCCTGGAACTAGGGGCTAAATTTTGGGTAAATTTTAAAACCCAGAAAAAGGTTTGGTTTTGGGAGATTTAAAATCGTTACATACCAGTGTGAAAAACGTGTTCCCGGGAAGAAAATCCCAAAAACGGGACCTACAGTACTCAGGAGGAAAAGGCACTCCCCGGGACACAGTGTTTCATCAGAAATTGCTGCACTTCAAAAAAGGTAAGGTCATTTATTTTTCATTTAGTAAGTATACATCCCAAAAAATAACGTGCATGTACTACCCCCTACATTGTGCATGTATCCTTCCTTTGGTGAAAGGAAAAAATGTATTTTTCATGGGGGAAAAAAATTTTTTTTTCATATTTTTGGTTTTCTTGCAGGGTTTAAATTTTGTTTCCTTTTTTCTTAGGGGGAAAATTCATTCGCATAACGATTTTTCGCAAAAACAATGAGCCCATAACGTTTAAATATCTTTAAAAGGGGGGGCCCAAACGGGTAGGGCCAGAAATCGCAATTTGGCCAATTTCCCCCCCGCAAATTAAAGAACATCCCCAGTTTAAAAACGCTCCAAAAGGACAATGCAGACATTCCGGGCTCTAAAGAAACCCTTTTTTTTTTTCATCAGTTATTTCTCCGGGCCCCCTCTTTTTTAAACCCTTTTTTTTCTTTTTTGAATTTCATTAAAAACAAAAAATAGAATTTTTACTGTTATGCAGAGTACTGCAATATTTTTAATAATTGTATAAATAATTCAATTTAATTCAAGTTTATTCTTGGGTTTCAGCCCCCTTTCCAAAAAAAGAGGTTAAAAGGGTTTAACCCGCCCCCGGCAGTACCACTTTGGGGACCTTTAAAAAAACCCCCCCCCGGGGGGGTTTTGGGGGCGGGTGGCCGGCCCTTTGAACATTAAATAAACCCGAACACCCCACGGTACGCATCTAAGCAGTAGGGACCTGAAAAAAACCCCATGGGACACATCTACTGGCCTTAAACAGTAGTAAGTACCTGAACCCCTCACGGGAAAACATCTACTTGGGTTTAGAAGCAGTAAAACCTTAACACCTCAAAGGTTTGCAAACTAAGCCCAAAAGGTACCTGAACACCTCATGGTACACAACTACTGGGCCTTTTGCAGTAAAAAGTACCTGAAAAACCTCATGGTACGCATCACCATAATTAAACCCGAACAAAACCAATGGGAAAACCCTCTACTGGCAGTAGAGGATTCTACTGGGTTCTAAATGGCGTTTGAGGGAAACGCTCACCGCAGCTCCCCTGAGTCCCGTTTTGGGCCCCAAATTAAAATTTACGCCGGGATTCAATTAACCCCGGCAGCAGGGGGTTTTTGCTAGTAATTCATCGGGCCACCTTTTCGGTGTGTCAACTGGTCTTGAAGGCAGTAAAAGTACCCCCCCCACCCCAAAAACCATCTTAAAGGGGTACTTCTACCGGCCTTGAGAAATATTTTCAGGGCTACCAGTGATGCCCGCCAACTCACCCCCCCAAGCTGGCCCAAAAGTGGGCCGGAGTCATCTGATGCTGTTTTAGGGGGACATTTAAAGAAGAAAAGGTTGGGGGTGTTACACGGGAAATTTGGGGTAGGACCGAAATTTTGACCTTGGGAAAATTTTGAAAGGGGGTGGAACACTGAGATATGCTACAGGACCGAGTGGAAACACAAAAAAAAAAGGGTTGGGGTAAACTGAAGAAGGGCCCGGTTGTAGTTACATTGAAAAAGTACAAGTGACTTTGGGCCCCTCGAAAGAAAGCAAAAGCGAAGTGATTTGCCCCAAGACAAGGGGGTTTAAGTGTGACACAGTCAGAAAGGGGTTTGGGTGACCAGAGAAAAGGGGGTCGTGTGACCCCGGAAACTGGAAGTCTGGGGACACAGAGAAAAAGGGGGTCCAAAGGGGCACGGTTGTGAAGGAGGGATCATTTACACTTTTGGGGAAAAGGGAGTCGGTGGGCACGGTGGAGAAGGAGGCCCTCACAACTCGAATAAGGGGTCGGTGGGGGCAAAGAGCGTCATTTAAGTGTCGTGTAGGGCACGAGTTGGGTCATAATTTTTTATTAAAAACAAATGGGTTTTTTATAATTTAAAATTTTTTAAACATAGATATATAAAAATTTTTAATTTTTAAAAATGTTTTAAAAATTTATTATTGTTTAAAATGTAAATATATTTTAAAAACCTCTAGACCAAAAAATTTTGTGTTTTATATAATATTAAAGGGTTAAAATTTTTTTTTAATTTTGTAATTTTTGGATCCCCCGAACTCTTTTTTACAAAAAAAGTAAACCTACCATCTAAAAATAATTTTTTTTAATAATGGAACAATGTGGGGGGAATTTCAGATTTTTGAAAATTTTTTGGTTTTTTAAAGTTAAAAAAAAATTTTAATTAATTAAGGGGGGGCCCCTAAAACACCTGCATTGGGTAGGGATTTTGAAACAGACTTAATTTAAAAATTTAAAATTTTAAAACCCTTTCAAATTTTGTATTTTAAAGGGTAAGTGGCAAAATCTTAAATTTGGGGGGGGGGGGGGGGGGGTTTTGAATAAGAAAGCTTTTGTTTGGCCAATTCCAAATGTCTTTTTGATAAAATGGTTTACAGTTAGATTTTTTTTAAGATTTAAAATTAAATAAAATTTTTGGGTTTTTTAGTCAGTGGGTGAGTGAAATGTAATTTTTGGGAAACCACCAGGTGGTTTTCATGTAGTTATTGTTTGGGGTGGGTCAGGGAGATAAAAGTTTTCTAACTGTAGTTTTTTAAAATGATGAATGGTTTTGCAGTTTAGATTTTCAAAATAGGGGGTTTTCCCAAATTTTTGGTCCTTTGAAAACAATTTTTAAAAATTTTTTTAAAGGGAAAATCCCCAAACCCGGGGGGTGTCCCTAGAGATTTTGTGTCCGGTGTTATGGGCCCGGGATCCCCGTCACAACTATCAAAAAGCGTTTTAGTTTAAGGTTAAAATTGGGAATTTGGGGGTTTCCCGTAGATATAATTGCACAGTAGTAAGTGGGGGATGTTTCTGGGAAAAGGGGGTAAGTTTAGATTTTAAGGGAAAAGTGGGGGGGGGGGGTTTGCCAGGGACCGGGGTTAGTGATTATTTTTTCTGCGGTTTTTTTTGGATTATTTTTTGCTTTAGGGGTTTTTGCGCAGTTTAACCCCCAACCCCAGATAGCAAGGTTTATGTATGGGTATATAAAATTTAAAAGGGATAGTTTGAGAAGGGCTTTTTCGGTATGGGATTAAACTAATCTTTGGGGAGGGGTCCCCCACCGTTTTTAAAACTTTTGTTGTTTTGTGTTGGATATGAGTCTGAAAATTTTGGTTGGGTTTTCGAGGGATCGGCCAAAGGGAAATTTTCCCTCATTATGTCCCGGCAATTAGAGTGTTGTCGATCTTTAAAGTTAAGTTGTGCAACACCTTCTCGGGTACCAACATAATACAGTAGGTTTGCCAGTGTTAAGTGTAATTATTGGGTTCAGTGATTTTTGAGCTGTCTCGTAACAATGGTTGTGAGGTGGAAGTTTGGGTGGGAGAGACATAGCTCCTCGTTCGAAAGAATGGGTTAGTGTAGGTTGTTGGAAGATCTTGATTAATGGAAGTAGGGGTCCATGACATTCCAGAATCAGTTCGTAGCATATTGAGAAGGATTTCAGATGGCTAGTTGGAATTTATTGGACAATGACTCATTTGTTTATTTGAACATGCAGAATCAAAGCAGGGGTCCTATGACTCCATTTCATGGTCCTTCATCGAAACAATCAAATCAC